TATTTATTTTTCATAATAACCAATTTTTATTTTTAGCAAAACCTTTTTGGTTTCCCCAGGCATATTATCGCCTCTTATACATCTTTTCTTTTATTCCCTAGTGTAAGCTATATAAAAACACAAACACACAGTGGTCAGCAAGTACGTAATAAATCAAAATGCAGCATACAAGAAAAAATTGCAGCAGTAGATCAGGTTAACACCACGAAATTATTTTTATTTCTTTGGTATGGGACAGACGCTTGATTCAATTTCAATGCCACAACAGATTAGGTGAACTTGTCAACTGACATTTTCAAGACGAAACAATAGCCCAGACACCCAGCCATGCACAGTGAAGTACAAACTGGGTCAGCATACTTTCTGTTCTTACAATCATGACACTTGTTGATGAGTAACAATCACAGTCATTATCACCACCTCAACAGATATATTCAACGAATGTTTCCCAAGGAAACTAATATGCTGTGGAACACCTCGACATCAATGAGCTCGACAGAGCCTGAGGTTCTTTATGATTGCTACAGCACATGAACTTTCCATTTGTAAATGGGCAGATGTTTCAATACACACTACGGAGAATAGCTGTACTGTGTACATTCTTCCATTTAAATTGCCATTAGTGAACAAAAAAAAAAGACAGCAATCGAGCTGAACCATTTGTTTGCACATCTGAATGTAGGTACAGTTAGCTGTGAGGTGTCCCCTACACATTGGCTGCACATGCAGGAGTACAACAGTCGAAATAGATTTCGAGGCGATTTTTGGAGCGGCAAAATGTTACTTTGTGTAGAACTAAAATGCAAATTGGGAGCAGATTATAAAAAAAAAAACAAATTCATTTGTTATTACGAAAGACCTAGTCTGAAGTCGTATAAAAAAGAAGGCTTACATTTACAGAAAAAAAAAGTACAAACTATTCGACATCCCGTAAACCGTGCATAGTGAATATGAGCACTGCTATTTCAATAAAAGTAGTATTTTTAACAACATTACTCAGCAAAAAGAAGTCCAGATTAGCACGTCTCATGGCTGTCAAATCTTTTGACAGACTCTGAGGATTCAAATGTGGATTTGCCAAGATGGTGACCTTGAGATTCACCAGATTCATAATACTGAGGGGTTGCGGAAAAAGAAAACTGGCACAGAGTTTTGTTTCTTTAGGGCTGCATAAATGTCATACAGTGCTCCAAATGATTGCGCTTAACTTTTTTAGACATGAGCGACCATATTACTACTCCCAATCATGGAGTCTCACATGCATGAGTAAATGAACAAACTGTGCTGCGTACCGCGACTAATGCTAACAGCCCATTCCAAATCTTAAAACGCTTTTCCGCAGGCCATAGATGTAATGCAGTGAAGGTGGTGCGGCATTCTGCACGGGCTAGTACAAGGCCAAGCAATTTCCGAACCTTTACGGCGCTTCCTTCTTTTCTCACGATGGGTTTAGTTTTAGGGCAAAAATGTCTGTGCTCACTTGCAAGGCGCGTTTGAGTAGATATTAATTAGGGGCCCCGGTATATTGGCCAGATGACGGCTGTGGATATCTAACGACAACTAACGTGATTGCCAGTAATGCCTGTGTTCGTAGCCCGTCGAGTTTGTTCAAGCACAGTAACAGCAATATGAGCTTCCAGCTTTATTTGCTAACATGCCACAGCCGGGTTTGCTGACTAAAAAACTTATATTTCCTGCGAAGTGTTGCTGGCTACGGCAACGCATTTTTGTCTTGAAGTTGTGTCGTCCCACCGATGGATATCTGCTGCTGGAAGCGGACTGATGGGCACGCTGTTAGTTTACCTAGTTACTTTAGCTGGTCAATCGAATTTCGCGAGTGCCCTGGCCTAATAAGTATTTTACACCATGGTTTAAAGTTAGGGTAAGCGCGCCTGGATCCCTAGATTGATTGACGACGAAAACTGCAGCAGCGTGACCTCCAATTCTTACCACTTTTCGCTAAAACTAGCGCAACTGAGAACATTTTGAGGCTGGTCAGGCATTTTGGAACAGCGTGACACCGTTTCGGTAAATTTTATGGTTTTGGCGCAGCTGGGTGCAAAAATAAAAAATGGTATCGAATTGGTGCAACTGTCTCACATCTGCACATGACTCTGAATAGAACAATTTCAGCACCCTACTTGACACACGACCACTACAATGGCAATCAGTAATCTCAAAGCTGTGTCACAGTTCTCAATTTAAGCAGTCACGATAGGTGAATTTATTCTCAATAGATCAGACATTTTAAAACACAGTAAACAGTAGGAGCTTAATATGTCAATTTATTCCTGTTCCGCAAGACTGCACTAACATCTCTCGCAACGGAGAGTGCCACAAAAAATACTTCATTGCCTAGCTGTAATACACGAAAGCTGCTCAATTCGTTCACTTCCTTTTTTTTTTCTGGCAAGGATGTTCGGATAAAAAAGAAGAATGCCAATGCAGGACAGCTCACCATTCTTGTACTGATGCAGCTGGACACACATCCCCCAAGCCTGGCCTTCTCACATCTGCTGTTACTTCAAGTTCTGTCATTTTTTGCCTGCTTTGGAGTCACGCCTACCCTGACATTGTATAGTGTTTAAACAGGTCTATTGTGAACTGCCAGTTACCTTTATCGGCAAGAATTTTCTCACAAAGAGAACTGTTGGCCACATTTGCGAAAAAACAGACATAGATAAATACACACATGCAAACCCATAGTCACAGCTCGTAAAAGCAGAAAGAAAAAGAGGCAGCAGTCATCCTTCACTTCATTGCTGTGCATTACTTATCGATCTGTCATTTGTACGAGTCATGACATATTTGCCTTATGTTATACCTAGCCAAGATTGATTATTCATTGAGGTTTGCTACCTGAGGGGCTTACGAACAGTCCCACAATGTTTTCACAACACCTAAAGCAACTTATGAACAGATAACTTCCTCGGGGGACACGACGAGTACACATGTGACAAGAAGTACGAGAGGCTGTGAACTAAACGGCTAGGTGTTAACATGTCCACAGAGAGCCGGGTACATTCTGAGTAGAGGTTTCACTGAAAGGAATCTGGCGCAGCTTTCCACAAAGCACTGATTGAGAGCGGAGGATTCGCAAAGATGCAACTGAAGTTTGTTACCGCCCTCAGTTGATTGATGGCAGCTGCTGCTCTCAGTTGTGTTCCTTCATGTGCTTGGAGAAGGTGATCTCGCAGGCGAATGCCAAGTAGCAGCGCTCGCAGAGGTACGGCTTGTCGCCTATATGGCGCCGCACATGCGCCGCAAGCATAATTTTCTTAGTGAAGGCCTCGGGGCAGTAGGCACACGTGTAGGGCTTCTCTTTTGTGTGGGAGCGCATGTGCCTCTTGAGCTCACCAGGGTACATGAAAGTCTTCCCACATTCCTGACACTTGTGAGGCCGAGGGTCGATGTCGAGAATGCGAGCGAACGGCACGAGAATGGTGGGCTCGGTCACGATCCATGCGTGTTCCCCGGAAGAAGCAGGCGATACAACTGCAGCAGGTGGAGCAGCTGGTTCTTCCGGCCATTGTAAACACTCTTCCATTTCCACTTTAACAAAGCATTCTTCAGTGTTCTCTCTTATGGAGCACAGGTCTGCAGAAGTCAAGAAAGGAAGGTTAAGAATTGCAGCTTGTGTATTTCTGAAGCTATGGTGTACTTCAAGCATGGCTAGGCCCATATTCACAAAACAGCCTTATCCTGCTCTCCCATTTTCCTTACTGATTCTGTGCCTTTAGTGCATTTGATAAACAACGTACATCAGTACTGAGAAACAAATTTTTAGTTAGTTACCCTATTACCGTTCTTGGTCTCCTAATAATGTACAAAGAACGCATAGAAACATGAGAAAAACATGAAATAGAAATAAGGTTGGTTTGTGAATACAGCCCTTAGGAAGTTACAATTCAAGCCTGTAATAAATGCTTGTTGCAAGTGTAGCACTTCAGTGATTTGTCTCTGCATGCATTACAGTGAAGTTGCCGACATGACAATCTATAAACAGGGGTTCTGCAATTGTTATATGCCTGAATGGTTTTTGTTATGTTGGCCATTTTTAGGCAACGACATTTACCGCAAATGTTTACAACAAATACAAATATGTACTCATCTGTACAGAGCTCAACTTTCAGCATGCCTTGCCTCATTGCAAACATTGTAGCAGAACGGACTGTTAAGATAGTTGGCTATCCATGAACACTAAAAACAACTCGAAAATGATGAGCACAAAAAAAAAAAAAGAGAAGTAGACTATAAGTGGCATGACTAACAGCAACTTATTTGATTTGCACTCGCCAAGGTTAAATATTGATTTTTAATTGTTCGTTTCTTCCATACATTTTTCCTCTTTCCATTGCTGATATACGAAGCATCCTTGGTATACCAGTAAGAGAAGGAACAAAAATGGAGGATTTAAGTTCTAACTTTCTTAGCATTACCACAAAAGTATAACAATAAAATATGCAAGGACAGAACACAAACGGCCCAATATCAGAAATGTTAAAATGGTAGATAATTTTTGAGCTGCCCTAATATACCACCAAAAGCTCGAACGCTCCAAGAGTCAACAAACACTGCGAGGTCTACATGACTATTTCATCGCATTTTCTCACAAAAAAAGACCGCATTAAAATTTACTGAAATTGAGAGTACAGCAAAGCATACTTGACCAACAGCATAAGAGACTGATTAAACTAGTCTGCTACTTAAGCGGCTATCAAAGAACACCCGAAGTCTTTGTAATAACTAACGCAACTAAGAAAAAAGATTTTTCAGGAAACATTATTAGCAGCTACTTGACATGAAGCATGACAGGCTCCAAACCCTGCAGATGTGGGCCAAAACTTCCACGGTCACAGGCAGGTGAATGCTGAATAGAGTTGATAAGACAAGGAGGGGAATCTGGAGCAGTTGCTCACAAACACACCGACTGAGAATGGAGAACGTGAACAATTTTAAAAACTAAACTAAAACCAGTCACAAGTCCTCACTCGACTGAGGGCAGAGAATGCTGGAAAAAGGTGCTCAGTGATGCTGCTGCATGTGCTTGGTGAAGGTGCTCTCACAAGTGAAGGCCATGCAGCAGCCCAGGCAGAGGTAAGGCTTGCCACCTGTGTGGCGATGCTCATGAATATTCAGGAACTTCCTCTCGGAAAACGACTTGGGGCAGTAGCGACACTTGTAGGGCCTCTCTTTAGTGTGAACACGACAGTGCTTCTGTAGGCCCCATGCCTTAACAAAGCCCTTGTCACAATGCGGGCACTTGTGAGGCCGCGCGTCGATGTCGACAAAGCTGGAATCTGCGACCGGAGGGCATGGCTGTGTCCCGACACTCGCAGAGTGTTCAGACGAATCTGACAATTCGCTTGCAGCAGGTAGTTCAGCTGATTCTTCTGGCCACACGTCACAATCTGTCATTTTTCCTGTCACACGAGATTCTTCAATTTTCACTCTCGCAGACCCTGGATCTGCGGAAGTCAGAAAAGAAAGTTTGAGAACAGCAGCTTGCAAGCTTGTCTATTTCTGAAATAGCAGTTCATTTCAAGGACAGCTAAGAAAGCGATAATTAGAGCAAGGCATAAATTTTTCTTCCAGGTATCGCACTCAAGTGGTCTGTCTCTGCATGCATCAAAAATACACTTCCTGACACGAAATTTCAGGAACGAATTTTGCTACTTTTACATGACTCTTGCTCTGTGCAACTTGCTTCATATACATCCTCGTTTTTAAGCAACAACTTTCAGTACAAATGACTACAACACATACAATTTGCATAAAACTGAAGTGTCATTACATGCTGAATTTGTGAAAAAAATTTTGTTTATGCATTATTATTCAATGCACGTGAAACGGCAAGGACATTCACAATGTTCTCATCGTGAAAATCAGAAGTCACAGAATGACATAGACAACATTAAAATGCAGTAGATGATAGGCACAGCATCAAATACAATACACACGCATATTTCATGCGTTAACTAAATGGATGTATTGGTCAGAACCAAGGAAAATGTTAAACAAAGAGGAAACACATAAAGTATAGAGTCTATCATTATAGCATGTATCAGAAAAGCATCTAAAAAACCACGAGCTTCTGATGCAACAGTAGCATCATTGCAGCGTACCGATTTGTCTGTTTAGCTCGTCTACAGAAACATTTTTTTTTTTAACTTTTAAAAACAGATGTAACTGAAACAACAAAATTTTCAAAAAGTCAGTAAGGACAGAAACAGCAGCTCAATCATGCAGATGTGGATGCGCACTTGATGGCACCACACATTTGCACAGGCCTAGTCACATGCAGAAACTCGTCAGATTGCTCGCCGATGTCGGCAGTACTATCACTGAAGGCCAGGACGGCGATCCAGGCACCAGAAGCCAGCAGTACAGTCGCGGTTGGAGGGTCAAGTGGTACTTTCGGCCATGTGGAACGTTCTTCGATTTTCACTCTTACGGAACATCGCTCTGCGTTATTCAAGAAGGAGTGAGGAAGGCACTATGCAAGCTTGTGTGTGTAAGTACATGTCTTAAGGGAAATAGTGTAAAAATATAATGAAAGACGGACGAACAAGGATGCACTCCTGCACACATTTTCTGATAGAACAAGCATACTTGCCAATTTCAAGGATTCTGAATCCGGGAGGTATTTGCAACGAAAGGGGGTTACGTTGATTTATGTGCCCTTCTTTTTTTTTGCACCAAAAGAAAACAAACAAATATAAATTAACTGAAAAGAAAAGAGGGGTCCATAAACATCGGCATTTCCTTTCTATAATGGCTTGTGGAGGATGAACACACGAGAGTAGGGTTTCTAAACTACAGTATAAGGTGCGGGTGTTAAAGGGTCGTGTGCGAACATTTCAATCTCTTGAAGTTTTGCATCATCAAAACTAGGAAAACCTATTTCTGTCAAAATAACTCTAATATGTCTTCCTGGGACACACGTGAACAAACGGGACGGCGCATCCGGCTGCTTGGAAAGCACTGGTAGAAGCTTCGCTTGATACCAACTGAAAAGCGAATGCCAAAGTATAGCCAAGGTACACAGATCAACAGGAATACTGTTACTAGATTTTTTGGACAGGAATGCAAAGATGCTTCTAGCCTTCTTTTAAGCCTTTATTGCCTTTAATCTACCACTGTGTTAGCCGCAAGCCTTCGGTTAGTAGTCGCTATTGATGATCGCATCGCCGCTTTGCACTCAGAGGCCTGACACAGCTCTTCCCTGTGCCACAGTGAAATACCTTTCAACGCGACAGAGCTCATTAGGCAGAAATTGCAGCATAAGCATCGTTAGTTGTGAGTGAAAAGTTATCACCCTGTTCGTCGCTGAAAAAATTGAGAAAGATCCAAATAAAAAAAAACTGGCACCGTATCTGCATGTTACACTGAAAATGTCGTCGAAAGACGGGTAGTCTTGCGTCTAGAAAGAGTGAACAAAACGTTTATTTGATGTCCTGCGCAAGAACATCGGTGAATGGTATTCTGGAAGTGCTGCGTTAGAGTGCCTCGAGCGTGCAGCGGAGGCGAACGAGCCCATCAAGTCACATTACGCATGAGACATTAGTGCTATCTGGCAATTATCTTGATAAACGAAGCGCGCGTGCCCTGCGCGCCCGTCTCGAAGGTGATAATGTGTAGAACTCAAGGCCACGGGTAGGTGCCACCACCGTGTCATCTTAGCAAAGCGTTGGAAACACTTGCCTTTTCGTGCAAGCGTTGCGTGGTCAGTGCAACGTGATAGACGCTAGAGTCCTTATAATTACTTATGTATACCTTTTCTAGTAAGAGACACACATACAGAATATAGACATATTGTTATGGTGCCTCAGATATGCGCAATAATTGCTTTTTAATTGACAATCAGACAAATATGAACGCTAAATTTTGTGCAATATTGGTGGGCGCTGCGGATGGGGTCGGCCGTTCGGAGTATCATTTGGCCACTTTAATGCCGTTTAGGGTACCTTAAGGGCGGACAAACAGATAAATGTACAAATAGACAGACAGATCAAAAATTGTTGCATCAAAGGTCCCAAAAAAGACTATCGTCTTTAATAAATAATAAAAGTGTACGGGTTCCAGTGAGAATCGAACCCAGGTGATTTGCATGGCAAGCAGGTGTTCTACCATGCAGCCATGCGTCTGCTTGAAAATGTGGCGACAATCATTTTCGGGCCTTACAAAAACACGCATACTCTATAAAGGTTTCACAATACAACACGTAATATCGCAGTAATATTACGTGTTGCAAGCGCACATTTCCACTGGGCATCAGAATATGCAATTGTTATAATGACATTGTGGTTTGAAGCCGGCCACCCACTACAAAAGCCACACACGTTAATGCGTGTATTGGGTGCTTATCTCCGTCTTTGCACGTACCTTAAGACCACATAATGGGTGTACAGCAAGTTCAAAATATTTCACGCGCTCGATTGCTCGTGGTTCATGCCACCCATTTAACAGAATGCCGCCATATGCAAAACCTTCACAGACACAAGCCACCTTATCGATTACATTGTAGGAATCCATAACTTAAACTGCTCGAGTAACATTGTACAATAAAAAGTATGTGCTAAGTTGTTGAAGTATGCACTAAGGACAGGATATCGCAGTCACGTTCAACTCATAAAGGCAAAGTTTAAAGGTGCCTCGATTTCGTTTGTTTTTTTTTACTTAAAGGTACAGCAAGTTTCCTTGCTTTGTAAGATATTTTATACTTCAAGGACACAGCAACTCCTTACTTTTGAAGCGAGGGCGAGACCATAGGTAAGATGAGTTTGCATTTACAATTGGTGCAGTATGGAAAGAAATGGCATTTGAAAGATGGGATTTGCAGTTCATTGTGAACAAGATGCTTTGCATCTGCAAGTATGAGATGAATGTTGGAACCTTTAGCATTTCAACCAACTAGTTCGAAAAAGAAGCATTACAAGTGTCGTCAACAACTTATTGTGCTTTCACAACAAATCCTCGTATAACATTTAGTGCAGGTTGCTACAGTTCCCTAGCAGCACCTCCACCAAGTGTTGTATGGAAATTCATTGTGAAAGCAGTGACCACTTGGCAGTCAGGGTAGCACTGATCTGACAGGAACGCAGATCTCGTGCACAGCAACAACAGCAGAAACTGGTCTTCCTCTTCCTCAATACGCAAGTCATGGTTATCGTAAGGGCCCTCTCGCCCAACACTGACTCAACTCCAGCATCACGCTTTTCCAGGACATTGCTCAGCCATGCACAGCTATGCGTGTCAAGGGGTCGATATCCCCATTAGCTATGGTTCCTGGCATCGCTATTACCCAAACACCTGCAAAAAACAGTCCTCCTTGCAGGAATTTAAACAGAAACAGGCCGAGTCTGACCTTTACCCAATTTTTAGCAAGAAAGGGGCTGATTTGGCCAATCAATAAACACTAATTACGGCTAACTTTGCAGAGCCATATTCCTGGACAACGTGGGAAAGTTTGGTTTTTATCAGACATAACATTAAAACATTTTCCTTAATACAGACTGCTGAATGGTTGAGATTAACTTTTGTAGTGTCTGTCAACAATGGGCCTTCTCACTTTTTTGAGTACTTGCAATCAAACAATCGTCAGCCAGATCTGTTCCCAGTACAAAACAACGCCATAATGCCTGCCGACGGAGACCACGGCATATTTCAGACATCTGGTATACCAAAATCGTCATTGAGAAATTGGCCTGGTATTACAAACAAAGATGCATTTATTTGTGATCGCACATCAATTTGAATAAAACAGCTGCTCTAACATCTGTCGAACTGTCCCAACAACTACCTATGACAACTGTTCTAGATTGTACAAAATTTACCTGAGAGTTCTGAAAGTCGCTACCCTCAAACATAAAAAAACCTTTAGTAATTACTTCCCACTGTGAATCAATCAATCATTATCTTTAGCAATGTTGTAAGATGCACCTGGAATGTCGTCACTTCTTTCTTATCACATTTTTTTTCTTCTGCTTCCAAGTACAAGCTATACAAAGACAAACTTATCAGAAAGTACATGCATGATGCAACATCATTGTGCTGTGCCTTAAAAGACACGAGGGAAGCTGGCTCTAGAGGTGCAAAGTTGGGTCACAGCAGAGCTAGTAATATCCTAGGTAGTCCGGGTGTGTCCAATTCTCAATTCAGATTAATACACACAATCAGCCCCATAAAACTAGAACATCCCAGAGAAGCTTGATGTAATACCTCAATCTATAATTGGCATTGATCATGCTTAGTATAAATTATCAGTACTTGATTACACTTAGACTAAACCTTACAATCAGTAATTAGTATCTTCCTGTGCTTGGTATCAACAATTTTGTCGGAAATTTGACCTGGGATTCCATGAGTAAATTTAGATTAAGTTTGATCTAATTTGAGTTAGTTATGCACAGATTAACTATAAAATACCATGCTCAACTATGCTTAATTATATTTCACTAATA